GAGAGAGAGAGAGATTAGAACAAAGTGTGTAGAGAATGAAAGGGGGGTCTCTTCCTTGTACAGGCCTCTAGTGCCCTAGGTATCCAAATTATGACTTATCATGGCCAATAAGATTTTAGGAAATTTGTAAGGTGAGATCATCCCATGAATCAATCATCATGTTTTAAGGAGGAATTATAGGAACCCTATTGCCTGATTCTTTTGATCCATATCCACTCCAGTCAAACTAGGACAATACCTATCTAAACCTAAGCTTCTAGAACTTTCTCTCTCAAGATCGTAGGAATCCAAAGAACACCAAGATATGGTCAAAGGTATTATTAAAAACTAATTCCTACAAAATAAGTACAACCTTTGTTTTAGAAATTTCTTCTTAACTAACTTAAACCACCCTTTTTTTATTTATTAAATAAAAAACTGAAGAGACGAGAGGAGGGGGCATGCCACCCAATATGTGAGGTGTGGCCCCCCCATGGGCTCCATGCCCACCCATGTGGTGTGGCACACATGTGGGGCTGGATCCAAAGGCCCCACATGTGCCCCTCTACACAACCAAAATTTCAAAAACACCCTTCTAAGCATTTTTCTTGTTGAAGTAAATTTTAAAAATTCTTTTCAGAATTTCTAAAATTCACAATAATATATGTTTCACTAAAATAAAATATCTAGAAGTAAACTGGTAGCAATTGGTCAAGATAAATGACTGTAAGGGTACTCCACCTGACCTAGTAACCGTGATCCTCAACTATCTTTTCAAACCGACCTAAGGAGACCTATGACCCATAGTCTTATGCAGGGTATCATGATTGGCTCATCAAAGTTGGCCAGATAAATAGTGGAACTATAGCCCCAAAATATTGATTGTAGGTTCCACCCCCATAAGAGCAAGTAGGATGCACGTATCACTATCGTGCACGGGGAACTCTCTATGCACATGTAAAGGTACCCTGTTTCAGGGTTGCTTCTAAGTAAAGCGATTGTCATGTATACATGTTGTACGAAAGTTTGTTGAAGATTTAACCCTTGCTCCCATTCACATACGTGACAATACGAAGCTCTCCTGGCCTATAAATTTTCCCTGGGATTTCTCTGACCTCAACAAGGGATAACATTCTAAAAACCCTTTTCGGTAGAGCCATATGCCTAGGGGTAAAGGTTTTAGACATGACTCGGGCCATAAATTGCCTAACCCTAGGCCAGTCAACAACAAACGCACTCACTGAAGTGTATAACCCACTATAATTTTATATTTACATGCTCACACGGCCTTTAAGGGCCACAAAACCCTAACAAATACAACAATTTAGGGGGATATTTGTAATAATGTAAATTTAGGGGGTTACATGAGCGTAAATATCTTTTACTTTTTTTTTTTTAAATTTTTTTATAGGTGAAATTCCATATATTTTTTGAATTTATGTTTTGGGTCATGTTCATGAATCAAATTAGTTAATATCGGTCTCACATATTAAGCTAATATTTTGCTTTGATGAAGAACGAATTACACGTACCACACTGTTTTTTCAAATATTTTTCGTACCCATAGATTGTATCCGATATACTAGGATGACTCGAGATATTGTGTATGTGGAATTAACTGGTTGCTTGGAAAGTGAAGTGACCTGTCTAGTGCAATTATAGTCTAATTGTGGTATCAGCTAGTGTCAGAGCACCATTCAAATGATAGGATCATAGTTTAAACGTATGTTTAACTTCCTCCTATATGGTCATTACTTATTTTCGCATATGATGTTACTTATGCAAGTCATCTGTGTATGTCTGTGACTAGTATTGGTATCCACATGCTTGTGTTTAGTATATTTGCAAGGGGTAAGTGGTGAACATGTGCAATTATGTATGCTGGATCTCAAATATCTAGTTCTTTCAGTTCAATAGATTTGTGATGATATGTAATTGTAGTTCAGTGCACTCCCGGTATGGGGAGTCTAAGAAAGAAAATCTGCAAATCATTTCTGGGTAGCTAGAGCCAAAAGAAAGTTCCATAAGTTCCATAGGTGGGGCGCACATTTATACTGTCAGGGATTTGTTCTTTTTATATGATTTTGTCAGGAAAGAAATCATGGGATTTTAACCAGGAATTCTGGAGAAAATTTAGGTTTTAGAGATTTGATATCTTCAGATTTGAAGAAAACATGTTTCGGGAGTCCTGAAAGAATGAAATGATTCTCATTTAGCTAATAATGGAGACCTCTGGGGTGCTATACAGTGCGACTTAGGGTCATATGGCATAAATTCCCTATTTGTTATAGAAAATGACAGCATAAATCTAGAGATGTAATGGAGATACAATGCCGCTTTTAGAAATATGCAACCTTGTTACCTTATGAAATATATGATTCAACATAATTAATATATGATCCAAAACCCCTCATAATCTTCCGTTATCATTGAGGGAGAATTTCCTGACAAGAAATCTATGGTTTCGATCATGTAGCCTCTGTAAATAATCTGGTGTCTAATTCTCATGGAAAGATTGATGTGTTCATTAGAAAACTTCATTTGGACCAAATGGAGGAGCTTGCCATCTTTGAAATTTAATGCTCCATTTGGTCTATCACGTTTTGAAGAGCTTCCCTCCACTTCTAAAGGAGTTCCCAACTGGTGAGTGTAGGTACCAAGTCCAGTGTTTGGGGGTGACTGCCACTTCCTTGGAGTCAAACTCTCTAGTAGGGCTTGGAAAGCCACAACAGGGACACTTATGTGGATCCCATAGCCCCAATCCTTGCAATCCTGGGTTCTTTAAAGAACTCTCATCATGATTAAGTTTCTTGTTGCCCCATGGGTGGTAAACTTTCATCTGGAAAGCAGGAGAGTGAAGATGGAGGAGCTATGATGTTACTAGGGCGGATGTGATTTGGCTTGTGAATAACCCATTCACTATTGAATTGGCTATTGAGAGTGACTTGTTGGGTAACTGGAAGACGGTTGTATGTATTAATCTAGCATACTTCTCGATAATGTTTAACTTGTCATCTTCGTTTGAGTATGAACTTTGATGGTAGGATTCGTGAGGAGTGCAGGCTTGATGATAATTTTATGGATGAGAGCAGTGGAGTAATCTGTAATGTGGGGCCTTTTAAGGTGGAGACTGAGACCCTCATTCCCACAAATAGTCTCTGGAATACATAGCCTTTTATAGTGGGGTTTTTCTTTCCCTTTGACTGTGGAGAGTTCGACCATTCTTGTAACGTGGGTTAATGGTCATAGGTTGGATTGTGGTGCTCCCCTATTACTAGAGTTAAAATTAGAGACCATAAATCCCCTGTAATTGTTCTTGGTATTCTCCTTCCATAGGATGGCAAATGGGTGGCTAGAAAGTATCAAAAGCTGGAATGTTAAGGCACAAGTCTCACGTACATTTGGTTTCTGATTCAGATTTGAGAATTCTGTTGTAATGGGTGGGTTTCTACTTAATTTAATGTGATTATCCCATTACAAGAAGAGAGAGAAAAACAAAGAAAAAGTGAATTCTGATACACTTAAGCCAAAGAATTATTTGCCTTGCTATACAGGGAGAAGGTCCTGGAAGTGATCCCGAGAAATGGAGAGAACTTTTCAGAGCTGCTTATATGCAATAGTTGGATGTGTAAGAAATGTGTATCCTATCTGTTAACAATTCTCTACGATTGATCCATTTTTAAATTTCTCCATATTTGTTTTCCAACCAACCATAATCTGATTCTCCCAGAATTGAATCTTTGTATATGAATGTATGTAAAGGCGGCCAAATTTTAGATGACTGTATATATGATGATGAAATTCAAAAAAACATTTTCTTGTAGGAAATTTTAAGTTGTATTTGTTTATAATCATCCTATATGTGCCAGAATAGGCTTGTAGTACGTTACAAATGTACAAGATATCTATTGCATGTGAGCTGGACAAACCCAATTGTATGGCATCTCACAGTCTAGAGTGAAGCTCATGTTAACTCATTCTCATGCTTTGCATGATATTGGATCAACTGCAGATAAATTTTGGAAGAAATAAAGTAAAAATGACATGAAAAGAGATATAAACTAACTTTCAAAAAGCCTTTGCTTCAATATAGTGTTTATAGCACTGTCACTGGGCAGTAGAGCTTTACACTGCTTTACTTACCCAAAAAAAAAACTGGGAGGTAGAAGTTTGTCTTTCATGTCTACTGGCACGGTAATACTGTAAGTCGTGCACATCGGGCTCAGGCTGTAATTATGGAGTGAGCAATGCAACAGACGCATTTTTTGGCATCATACTGCATTCTTGGTGGTCCCTTTCTTGCATGATAGCATGGCTTATTTGCTTCTTTGGTATTGGAGGCTTCAGTTCTTGTCTTTGTACATCGGTAGGGTATTGGTATTGATATTCCAATGGGCATCCACCGTCCATTCCCCATGACGTATGTTGTTTATTAACTGTACCTGGGCATCCTGGTCGCCTCCACAACTGTTAATCACCGCTGTCTATGCCTAGCATTGGATGTTGGGTGCCTCTTTGGAGTACTATGTAACAGCCCTCTAGTGCACTTTGATGTAGGCAATGGAGATCTAATGGGTTGTATTCTTCTTTAGCATCTATGAAATTCATATGGGCTCTGCAATCCATGAGTAAGAATGCAGGTTCCTTGTGCCCCAAATGACCTCTTAGGCCTATGAGTCCTCAAAGAGCTCCAAATGCCTGTTGTCTATCATGGCCTCAATTTCAAGGATTGTGCTTTTGGCTTCACAGGTTTTTTTATTAAAATCTATATGCTATCCAGATAAAATAGCCAGTCAAGCCAATCCCCAAACCAGTATCTCATGCTTATTTCTTTTCTCTTTCCTTTTTAACTGCCAACTTTTTTGTGTTCACCCACAAAAAAAAGGCGCCTTTTTTGGAGTTATTAGAAGATCCAACAATCTGCTGATCTTTTACTGTATTTTATTGCTCAATGTTCGACCTCCATATGTGCTTGTCCTTGTCTTTCTCTTCAACTTTGACATGGACCACCAGGATGACAAAGAGGGCCTCCTAACCAATATCACCAAAAGTCACCACAGGAGCATCTCCCTTCCCTAAAATGATGGTACCGATTTGGGTCTCTGAGAACTATTTCTCTTTGCCTAATCTTTGATACATATTTGAAAGTCTCATGGCAGTCCCTACACACTCGGAGGTTCTTTCCAATCCGAACAGGTGCTTCACCACCACTTTTGAGCAGTGCAAAAGCAAGTGCCAATTTCTCGCAATGCCCACACAAAACACTTGCCTTTTCCTCTTCATTGATATCATGACACACTGCCGATGTGTTTGGTACAAAACCAGCTTGCTTCATCCTATGCATCAATGACTCTAGAAGGCCAAATATTTCTTGTGAATATGGATGCTTGCAATCCCCAACTGTAAACATATGGAGCTTCCTATTCACTTCTACCCAACTGTATCCTGTCACTTGTTTTAGCCCCAATTCTTTCATTTCTAATCTCACCATTGCAAAATCTTCCCATCTACCTAAGTCAGCATATATACGTGATAGAAGTATGTGATACCCAGCATTATATCTGTCAAATTTTAGAGCTTTTTTAGCGGCATATTCTCCCAATTCCAAGTTACCGTGACTCCTGCAAACTGCAAGAAGTGCTGCCCATATGATCTCGGAAGGTTCAATTGGCATAACCTTTATAAACTCATAAGCTCTCTCGAGAAAGCCACATCGCCCATATAGATCCACCATGCATGCATAGTGTTTCATCTCAGGTGCAATGCCATAATCCCGTTGCATGGACACAAACATCTCCCGACCATGGTCGACTAGTCCTGCATGGCTACATGCAGAGAGAATGGCTATGAAGGTGACCCCATCAGGCAAAACACCTGATTCCACCATTTTGTCAAATGTTGCTAAAGCCTCCATACTTAATCCATTCATGCCATAACCCATAATAATTGATGTCCATGAAGCCACATTCCTCTCATACATCCCCTTAAATACCAGTGCACCAGAGTTCAGGTCTCCACATTTCACATACATGTCTATGAGAGCATTTCCCAATAGCGTCCCTAGTACACAATCTCCCATGCATCTCTCTATGTAGCCATGAACTTCTCTTCCACGTCGAAGGTTACAAGTCCCTGCACAAGCCTGCAACACTGTCGCAAGAGTTGCAATGTTGGGTTGCTCATTATGGGAGAAATTAGGGTGTTCCACATTATCCAAAATGAAGTTGTGTTGCTCCATACTTAACTGGATCATCTGACTAAACAATTGTAGAGCCACATAATGTAGCCCATTAGCTGCATAACCAGAAATCAAGGTGTTCCATGAGATCACATTTCTTTTAGGCATGCTATTGAACACATGCTGAGCATAGTTCACGCCTTTGCACTTTATATACATGTCGAGCAAAGCTGTTTCGAGGATGAGGTCTCCCTTGAACTTGTGTCTTAAGGAAAACCCATGAATTGACTTACCCAAATTCAGGATCTTCAAGTGAGAACATGCAGATAAGGCACTGGTTAGAGTGATCTGGTTGGGCTTAAGATTTTGTCTGTGCATTCCAGAGAAGAACTTTAGTGACTCATTCGCAAGCCCATTTTGGACTAGCCCTGAAACCATGGTGGTCCATAAAACAATGTCTCTCTCAGAGATTAATTCAAACATTTTCGTTGCAATTGTGATATGATTGGATCCCAAGTATAGCCTAACCAGTGCTGTGCAAATGAATTTATCCTGCAAAAACCTGTGCTTTGTAATGAAAGCATGAATCTGCTTTGCGCAATTGGAAGGGTTTTTTAGGTTTGAGCATTGCTTGAGAAGAGATGAAATAGCTTTAAGGTTAGGTGGGTAGCCTTGTCTTTGGTTGTGGAAGAGTTGGTGAGCTTTGGCAATGGAGTTGCAGGAGTTGCCTTTCGGCTTGATTTGGTTGTATGCTATGTTATACATATTCTCAAGTCATGCTGAGAGGGTGGGAAAATGATGGAAATTCATGCTTCTCGCCCAACCAGGAGAGAGAGAGAGAGAGAGATGCCCGGCAGCAGTTTGGTGCTGCATGAATGGTTTCTTAGAGAGAGAGAAAGAGAGAGAGAGGTTAGAGAGGTTTTTGTTCAACCTGTTGTCATATCATAATATACTTTACCCTTTCCCTTGATTTGTTGGAAACAATATCTATTCTATTCTTGGCAAGCTTTATATGCTTCCCCTACAACATGAAACTTATATACTTCCACTTATTCAATCCTCCATTTTGAATGGAGGGTTAAGATTGCCCCAATCACAATGTTACATTTTTACACTACTTTATTTTTGATGTTTTTTTACAAACTATTTTAATACCAAAATTTGTACATCCAATCCTCTATTAAACTTGTATTAGCGAAAAATATATATAAAAATTTTCAATAAAATAAAATGATCAAAATACCTTTGAAAGTTTCAAATGGTATTTTGGTCATTATATTTTATCAAAAAATTATTTTAATATTTTTTTATAGGTGCACCCCAATGAGAAGATAGGACGTACCAAATTTGATATTCATACAATTTGTATAAAAAAAACTAAAAATAAAATACTTTAAGACGTTGGATCTAAGATCAAACGGTGAGTGGCTCTCTTGATCAAAATTGGACGACTGGATGGTAGGAGAAGCATAGATCTTCTATGCTGTAGGGGAAGCATAGAAACCTTTCCCTTCTATTCTACGCATATTAAAGGATGCTATTGTGAGAGATGGTTCAGGGCAGGTGACCTACAAATATAAAGAAGGATAGAGCAGTTTTTAACGTTAATAGTAGTATGGAAATACAAATAGTAGTTTGGAAAATTAGAGTGGGATAAAGCAGTTTGCAAAAATTAAGAGTAGCATGTTCCATCTCTCATCAGCAACTCTTTCTTTTTTACATTGGACATTGCTTTCTAACTGCCCTATATAAATAAAGCGCAATCTTTCTATGCTTTCCTACTACATAAAACTTATATATTTCTCCTTATCCAACTCTCCATTATGAATGGAGAGCTGAGATTACCCTAATCACAATGTCATTTCTTTACACTATTTTTTTTTTAATTTTTTTCTATAAACTATTTGGATACCTATTTTTGTAGGTCCAATCCTCTATTAAACTCACACTAGTGAAAAGTATAAAAAAATATTTTCAATAAAATAAATTGATCAAAATACTCCTAAAAGTTTCAGGGAACTTTTAGGAGTATTTTTAGTCACTATATCTTATCAAAAATTTATTTTTAATATTTTTTATAGGTGTGCCCCAATGAGAAGATGGCACATACAAAATTTGTATAAAAAAACTAAAAATAAAATGCTTTCAGATGTCGGATTAAGATCAAACGGTGAGTGTTTTTTTTTATCAAAATTGGACGGTTAGATGGTAGGGGAAGCATAGATCTTCTATGCTGTACGGGAAGTATAAAAACCTTTCCCATAAATAAATGTCATAAGAATTTAAGTATGTTGTACAATCTATGCATGTTTTACTCTCTTTTTTTTTCCAATCTCTCTCACTAGACCATAGTTAGCAAGTCGGGGATTATCAAAAAATCGACTCACTTTGAAATTGGAAACTAATCGTTTTTATTTTAAAAAGTCGAATGAAAAAATCGGGTAAAAAATATGAATTGATAAAAATACTTCATGTAAAGAGATCGTGAATATATCGAATTAGGCTCAAAAGATCGGAGTAAAAAATTCAGATATGTTTAAAATATTAGAAATTATGAAACTCTAAATATATATCACTCTTTATGAAAATGACCTCCCTATATATAAATTTCAAATATTCAATGTGATGTATCTCTAAATCATAAGATGGTTATCTATTCTATTCGTCAAGATAAGTATTGGTCGGTGAACTCAATTAAAATCTTTTTAGAAAAGAAAGTCAATCGTATACTTGCTAACTATGATCTACCCGTAACCACACGAAAAAACTATGGTCTACCCATAGCCAACTGAAAAAATACGCATCATATCCATAGCACAGACCTAGAGAAAGTTTTGGGAGAACAGAAATAAAAATAGAAACAGAAATTTCAGGAGAAAGATATTGAACTTTCCAAAACAAAATTAGAGTATATTAATAGAAAAGATATTCAACTTTTCAAAACAAAATTAGAGTATATTAATAGAAACTTTTTTTTAAATGATTTTTTCAAATTTTGAAAAAGTGGCGTATTTTTTTATGAAAACGTTATAGATTAAATCTTTTATCAAAAAAAGTGCCGATTTTTTGAAAAAATCACGATTAAATCGGTGATTTGCTAACTATGCATTAGACCCAGACATACGATCTGGTCGACCCAACAAGTCCACGGGTGGACCCAACTCATTTCCCACCCTAGAGCCACAGCCACTAAATAGAGAGATGCATAAATTAATGATAGAAAGATAAATTAATACACGGCAAACTGGGATGTTTGATTAGAACCACCGTACGCGTTGCAACCGATAGATTAGTGTAATGCTATGTCATTGATGGTGCAAAGAGAAATAATCATTGATTTAAAAAAATGGATTGGTGCCACGAAGTGTGTATCCCAAAACCGATCCAGATCGGTAAATCGGCGGTTCAGATCAGTTAATCGGTTGGATCGGGTGGATTCAGCCTTAAAAAATTTCAAACAATTTGTTAAAAATCGTTATAGACGTTTTTTAAGAATCCAATAAGAAATAGAGGTATTATTTTATTAATTTTTATTTTTTTGCATTAATATGCAGATATTGAGATGTTCTTTCTCCATGTGAATTGCTATTATCCATTAAATTTACATCATACAAAAGAAGAAGCATAAAATTATCGTGGATGAAGTATATAATTATACATGGACTATAATAAAGCATCTAATTAGTAAAATACTACTTAAAATCAAAATAAAAGATGGTATTGTTCTTTATTTTGGTCACGTTATTGACTCGATCTAAGAACGAATAATCCAACGAGTGTTAGTGTTTTGTTGCGCTTCGTGTCCACATGTACTGTCATACTCGTCCCTACCCTCATTGTTATTGGGAATCGATATATGAATAATTTGGTTGAGATATGGTGGCATTAGAATTATTATCTGTCTTATTTACCTTTATACCTTCTACCCACAAAAATTATTGGTTTATTGGTTCCAAAGAAGATTTTTTTGCTAAAATTAACAAAAACGTACCTAAGCAAACAATACCCTGGGTCACAAAAAAATAAAAATAAAAAACAAAATACGCTATATGCTTCAAGTAGGCTATACAAAACTCAGCCACATGTAAAATGATTTAAAAAAGTAATTAGGATTGAAAAGGCCCCTGTTGAAGCTTTGAAATTCAGGCATGTAAAACAAAGCAAAACACATTCTTTAGCTAAGGACAACATATTGAGACGTTCAGACCAAATTTACTGAATTTCTTTTTATTATTTGCAGAAATTTCCTGTAATTTTATTTCTTATGAGATACAATAAGGAAATCACTAGCGGAAAAATTCCCTGAGCCAAATATTTAGAAAAGGGTGTGGTTTCTATAACGTTGCTCTTTAACAATCCATTTATGGGCACTTTCAAATTTTATCATAACATATAATTTTGATGTAAAAAATTCTTAAGATTATTTCAAAATCTACTTTCATATCTAATTATAAAATTTTAAACTAAAAAAATGATTAATATCAAATAGATCTATAAATATATGAAAATCTTGAAAATGGATAGTCTAGATAATGTGTTGTAAGATGCACCATTTTTGGGACTCAAAATCAATTTTTTTTTTATAGTCATTCATCTCGATGTCGAGATAATCATTTAGAGGGTTTTTCAATATTAAAACAACTTTTTCTAATGGATTTTTGAGGTGCATCCATAGTTCTACATTTTAAGGTTGCAACCTTATATAAACTTTTCCCCTTTAAAAAATGCTTTATTTTAAGATTTTTGGAGTTTGAGAGATTTATTTCAGCAACGTTTTAGATAATGTTTTTATCTTAGGAATTTGTAGAGGTGTGCGTTTCTTTTTTCCTTAAAGTTGATTTCTACGATCAACTGAGCAAACATTGTCTGCATCAGACAATCAAACAAGAACAATCAAATTTCATACAATAAGACAATCAACAATCAATAAGGGAAAGTTGCATATATCCAACAATCGAGTGTTATTGTGCAGAGACCCCGCAAAAAAAATCGTAAAAAAAATAAAAATTGAAACAACAAATCAAGTTACCCGATTTTGGTGAAAGCTAGTCTTAACACAATCATTAAAAAAAAGCATTGGATCAAATCGATGAAGAATGGCCACATAATTCACAATTTTGTGGAAATCGAACTCTCTAAAAAAAAACTGTGAATCTTGTTAAAAAAAAATCATAAAAAAAAAAAACGAAACAACAAATCATGATACATGATTATGATGAAAACCAATATTACGACAATCTTTCAGCAAGAGCAATGGATCAAATTGATGAAGAATGGCCACAAAAATCACGATTCGATGGAAAACCCTAATCCGCTCAAAAAATCCTAAATTTCAGTAAAAAAAAAATCACAACAATGCATTTTTTTTGGTTTGATCCAACCCCAATCGATGTTTTATTGACCTAAAAAATTATTCCGTTCCATTATTAATAAAAAAACAATGGATCTTTTTAGATCTTGCAACTTTTTTTTTTTTTTTTTGG